TTCTTCCCTTCTGTCCTTCTGTTTTGTTTCTGGTCCTTATCCTCTATTGCCTAAACTATCACAATTATATCACAGCAGACTTCTTTGACTTTAGTCTCTCCCCTTTTCAGTCTTTCCCCCATATTCAATTCAATGTAATAAGATTATATTTAATTTTATGCTTATTATGTGCCAAGAATTGGGTTGGGTACTAGAGATATAAAGGAATTCCTCACCTCCCACAACCTAGTTTGCAAGAAAGATGAAAAATGTGTGATTGGTAATTCAATGTGATAAGTAACCTAAAAGAGGCATACATCTAAACTGTGAAAGAAGAGAAAACATTCATTTCAGCAGTTTGGAAAGGCACGTGGCATTTTATCAGACACTGTTGTGCTAGAATACCTTTCCAAAGCCCATATCCACTTATTTCATTGCTCTGCTTTGAAGTAAACAGAGATTTCTGCAGAGTTAATGCATATAATACAAAGAAAATTAAAGATGAGAAATTACCTAGAATTCTATTTCCTCATTGGAAAATATTTTCCTGTAGTTTGGGGGAAAGAGACAGCAAGTTATAAAGGATTTCTTGCCCTTTCCTAGCCCTAAAATAAGGTTTAAAAAGGCATAGAGTTTGGAATAGAGATGAACCATAAAGAATTAGTAGAATGCAATTGTAAAAGGTTCTATGGCTAAGATAATTAGAGCAAAACTTAAAAAAAATGCAAGCAAGTTTTAAAAAACAAAGTTGATCTGGCTGAGCTTAAAGAATTCCTCTCTATGTTTAGATAATTTTTAGCTAATGAACAGAAAGATAACATTTAATTGAAAATCGATATCAGTGAGGGGGCTGCTATATTGTTCTATTGCATTTTAGTCCTACTATTAATATAACAATAAAGAATATTCAGTTTTAATATAAGCAGTGTACTGTAATATAAAAACAACCATTTTATGCATCAGGATACTTTCTTTATCTTCTTTCTTTACTGTGTGACCTTGGTTAGCAAATGCTTATATACTATTCTTGTAAGGGAGGAGGAATAGGGACAATTAATTGTAATCAATCAATCTATTATTCATAGGTTGATGAATCAGGATTAGGTTTATGAGGAACAATCAACATTTCCAAATTCCGGGAGAGGAGAGGGAGAGGGAGAGGAGGGGGGAGAGGGTGGAGGAGAGGGAGAGGGAGAGGGAGAGAGAGAGAGAGTCAGAGACAGACAGAGAGAGACAGAGAACAGACTTGCCAATCATGCAGGCTGTTGGCCAACC